GTAGTTTTCGACGCAGTGCGTCAATGTGTCCATTCCAGATGAGATGACTATCAATATACACTCCTAAGACACATTCTGACTCAACCTTAGTGAGTTGCATGCCATCAACTGAAAGGTCAAGAGATTGTTTTGCTGAATTTGCAATTTTTTGTCTGGTCTAGGTTATACTGTACTTTGTCTATGCTGGATGCATTTTCATTTTATTTTCCTTTGCCCACATCGATACTACATCAATGTCAGGTTTAATTTTCTCCTTGACTTCAGCTAAGGTAAGTGCAGATGCATAAAGGGTCGAGTCATTGGCATGAATGCCAGTATTATACTCCCTTGCAGTACACCATAGTGAATACTGAGTGGTTCAGATAGTTTACCATTAACACATACCTTTTGATACCTTCTGCTGAGGTAACTTTGGAACCATTTGAGGGAGTTAGTATTCAAGCCATATACTTGAAGTTTCTTGAGCAGCAGTTTATGGTCTACAATGTCAAAAGCTTTGTGCAAATCAATCATAACAACACCAGTAAAGAGGCCTTTATCCATTGTTGCTAGCCATTCATCTGCAATTTTGATAAGGATGGTTTTGCAGGAGTGGTTAGCTCTAAAACCTGATTGGCATTTGTATAGTAGATTGTGATTAGTGTGAAAAGCAATGAAGTATTTGCAGATATGTTTCTTAAGAATCTTAGAATTGACAGGGAGGACTGATTTAGGTCTTTAATTGTCGAGATTTGTTTTACTCCCCTATTTATAAATCGGAGTGACATGAGCCAGTTTGAGTTGAGCTGGGCAGATGTTGTTAATTATGCTGCAGGTAATCACTTTTGCTAGACTTGGAGCAACAGCGGGAGCGATTAATTTTAACAAAGAAGAGCTGATTCCATCAAGTCCAGTTGCAACATTTGATGAGAGTGATTTGATGATTTCTAAAACTTCCTGTTCTGAAACTGTGGGTATACTGAAATCAGCAAATTTGCCAGCTTTTTTGCTATTTATGAAATCCATCAGATTAAGGAAAGAACAGTGATTGTCGAGCATCTTCTTTTAATAATTAATGTAAGATGGTCATCGTTAGTCACGTCATGAATTACTGTTGGTTCCAGATTTCTTGAACCTTTTTCATTCTTTGAGTGACTCCTTTTTCACTTGTTTGCTCTATTTTAAGTTTACTTTTTAGGTTTTAAACCTCGAAGACTCAAAAAACGATAATTTTCATGACTGTTCTTTCCTTAATCTTAGAACCTTTTGCAGACAGGTATTAAGACAAACATCTTTTGGAAAACGTCTACATTTCTGGCAAACCTTGAGGCACTTGCATGCCAGTCCTTGGGACTGCAAAGAGGGTAAGAATTGAGATCAAATTGATGGAACAATAATTGGTCTTCACTCTTTTCCTCCCATTATTCAAGTCCCAGTTTCCAGATGACCATCTAAGAACAAATAGTTACTGTCTCCACAAGAAAGGTTACCAGCTCAAAGACACACACTACAGATAAATACAAGTACAAAAAATAATTTTGCCTAGCCAAACTACATGATGAGCTTGTTCAGTCAAAATAATACAGTCTAAGAAGTTAGTACTCGTAAGCTACTTTGGAAGACTTATATTCATAAGAAACTGGAAGAGATGGTACACATTTACCATGGTGAAACAGAGATTCCTCTTATCTGTACTCTTTGAGATAGCTTGGAGAAAAAAAAGAAAACTGAATATGTGGCACTTGAACAATTCTTTGTCAAGTTTGGAGGCAGCATAGCTTAAGAGGAAAGATTCCTTGAATTAATAACATTAAAGTAGTTTGATATCTTCAAGTACTTATCAGAAAGCCAGTCGCTGTCTTTCTTAATCATGAATAAAGGTTGATTCTACAAATGATACCTTAGACCTCTGAAGTTTATAAAATTAATGTAAGTTTAGAAATCAAGATGATATACCTACAAGAGTCCTCTTCTCTACCGTAACCTGTGCCCAGTTTTTTTTAAACATCTTAAGATAGCAGTGATTTTAAGAGAGAAAAAATTTTCTTGTATCTCTTGGAAATTGTCTTTGGTGGAGTGATTCATGATAACAAGATAAGATGTTACTGAAAATATCCCATCATTATAGAATGCTTAAGGCAAGTTGGCCATAAGCCTCAAGCAACTCTTACATCAAAAACAAGTCCACCACACAATCATTCACTTCCTTTCCATCCTCTAAAGTCTCAAGGTCCATTTCCAAATTCTCTATCCTACCCAGTGTGGGTGGCAGTGGAAACACAGCATAACTCTAATGATATGGGGTAATAAAACAGTTAATTTAGTTTTACAACTCTTAAAATTTCACTTCTATACCAACTACCTCTAAATATTTGAGGATGCTTTTCAAATAGATTGGGCACATAGTAAATGTGCAAAATTTATATGTTATCCTGGTGGTATAAAAGCATAAATTTTCTATTGGAAGAAGAGTTGATATGATTTCATGTGACTCTTGCTTTTTAGTGTTTTGCAAAATGTTTTCACCTTTGTGGACAAGAGATTGCTTGTAATTCCCTGCAGTAAAATTAAAGATTATAGTACACATGTTTCACCAAGTACTCCTGATTGCTAATTTCCAATAAAAAAATAGAAATAGACTCTATTCATCATCTGAACAAGTAACTGATGACAATGGATGACTAGGGCAATATAAAAAACATACCTTGACATGAAACAGGTCAATCTCTCTTTGCTCCGTCTCTTTAAACACTTTTTCTCTTGTTATCATGGCAATTTCCCCCCATTCTCTTCAGACCTGGAATTAAATTTTGAATAGAGAATATGTTAAAATACAGCATTGAAGCAAATGAAGTTAGCCCTGTATCAAACAAAAGGCTTTTCAATACAGTGAACAGCAACACCTCTACTATAGTGGTCTAGTATTTGGTTGTAATTTACATGTATCAGATTGGAAATTTATGTTATTGGAAAGTGTGAAGTCAATTGCAAGCTAGTCACAGCATATGCTATAATGTTTTAAATATCAACTAGACAAAGAAATAAATAATTGAACAAACAAGAACTTACAACTACACACAGGCTAAAACAACAGTACTCTACATTCAATAATGGTCTTCAAATCATGAATTTACTCAGAAGGCACTTTTAGTATCCTTGCAGGAACCCCAATTGATTTTCTGATAGAAATTTACCCTCTTCACCAATTCCAGTTTGTTAGCAATGTAAGATGCAAGTACATACTGTTCTGTGGGTAGAGACTTTTTTGCATGACTTGCACAGCTTCTTGAAATAAACAGAAAACTCCTCCAACACTCTCTGCCACCCAACAAGACGAGATTCCTTGTCAGCTTTAACATCTGTTAAACAGCAAGAAACAAAAATGTGAACTGAGAAAAAATTGCTATGAGAAGGTCCCTTTGTCATTGTTCAGTGAAATATCTGTGGCAAGAAATTTGTTTTTCTGTGTGTAAGTTCATTTTTAAACTGCTGTGGCCATTTTTCAACTGGCTACATTATTAAAGATATTTTTTGGGACAAGTTGTGTTTTTATTAACCTTTTTTTTCATTTCAATGTAACAAACAAACGGAAGTTTAGTTATAAGACCAAGGATTACCGTCATTATTAAGTGTTAAAAATAAGACAGTCTTAATACTTTAGCTCCACTTACAAACCTGAGCCTTTCAAGTCTACTTCCTCAGTGTGAGTGCTAAAATCTTGAATAAAGGTTCCCTTGCTAAGAGCTTCCACAAAGTACTAAAAGTTTTGAAAAGCATAGTAAGATACATGACAGTGCACTACCACAAGCTGACAAGATCTTACTCTGACACAACTTTAGTATCTTTAATCAAAGAAAATGTCTCAGTGTCTACTACAAGAAAACACTGGGTTACATTGCCCCCATAAGTGTGCCACCTAAAGTACAGGTTATCTCCTCAGTGTGAGTACCAAAATCTCAAATAAAATAAAGTAAATAAACGTACTGTTACGAGTGTTGATGTAGAGCAGGGTTGTTCCTAGACAAAACTCAGTATCGTCATTAAGAGCAACAAACTGATTTATTTTCACATAGTCGACTTCTCGACTTTACAGCAATAAGCTTCTTCACACTTCTCTGTGTTTTTTAGACGAAACTATTATTCTCATACACATAAAGTACAAGGATGTAGAAACTTCTCTAAAGAAATAAATTAAGAAGATTAACATGGTTTCTAAATCTGAGTAATTACATAAGAAATAGAACGTTCCAGAATGTTCTTATACAAGAAGGTCATGGCTATATGACCTCAGGTTCTAGACTGTTCTATCGAACATTCTAGGACTTAACTTAGACAAATTTTTGTAACACTTAAGAGCTTTTGCAAAGTACTAAAGGTTTTGAAAGGCATCATGTGTTAGATAACACTGCATTACCACACACCAACACAATCTTTACTCTGACACAATTTTAGTATCTTTAATTAAGAAAATGTATCAGTTTTTACTACAAGAAAACACTGGGCTACACTGTACTCATGGGTGTGCCACCTAGAGTACAGCCTGTGTTTGTTTACTCTACAACAAGAAAACACGGGGTTACACTGCACTCATGGGTTGCCACCTATGTATTAGTTTTTACTACAAGAAAACACTGGGTTACACTGCACTCATGGGTGTGCCACCTAGAGTACAGCCTATGTTTACCCTACAACAAGAAAACACTGGGTTACACTGCAGTCATGCTGCTTTGTTAATCAATTGCCTACAAGAGAGTGTTGGGCTTACCGTTGATTTACTGCAAGCCACTGTGTATAGGAATTAGTCATGTGATGGCAAATTACATGTAAATAGGAGATTGTTACATGAAAAATTCTAAGTACAAAATTTCTTTGTTCCTAAAGCACATTCTGGCCAATTGTCTGGACGCTGTACTTGATTACTAGTAAAGAATATAAACTTGATGGATGCATGTTAAAAGTAAACTTGACCATAGGTTACATCAGTTTCCACCAGTATGAATAACAGTGGCTTCTCACTAACATCAACACAGGCAAAATTTGACTCTGTTAAAGATTAAATTTTTTGCTGTGTTCACCTCTTGGTAAGGCTTCTTGAACTTGTCCAATGGAAGAGCAAGTTCAATGATTTCTTCAAGGTGTTGGAGGATCTCAAATTCAGTTGGACCTGAACCAGAAGAAGAGATGGCATGACATCAGCTTAAGTGAGATTTGACTCAACATATAGCATTTTAGGAAAAGGTTTACCTGACATAGAGCTGACAATGGGCATTCTGCTTTGAAATGGGAGACTGGTGATCAGGTTTCTTTTTCACTGAGGTACGGTCCCCATGAAAGGACTCTGGGCCATAGGTTTTGAGAGCAGCATTGGCCTCTAGTAAGGAATCCACCTTGTGTGCAAGTAAACCAATTGATGCTAGTAACTGTTCAATGTTGCACATCTACATATGAAGAGCAAAAAGCTGAATGCTGGTGAGACTTTCATCCAGTAGGAAAACAAGGTCATCTTGCATACCAGTTAATCTACAAGGAAGGGATGACCAAATAAGATGAAAGTCACAGACACTGAAACAGAGAAAAGGTGATGCACCCACTGAAACATCAAATTCTGTCGTAATATACTCTGAAACTTTTTTCCTTTCGTTTTAAGACCTCCTGACTATGACCACTCCATTCCTGACAGTATAGAGGCATGCATGTTAACAACTTTTTTTGTTCGTCCAAAGATCCTGGGGAAAGATTTTGGTTCATTGGTCACATTAAGAAAAACAAACCTTACCATGCACTTGATTTCAATTTGTTGCACTATAATTAATTTGATCATGCCATCATTAATTGTTGTAGAAAGATGGGAAAATTCTCAACAGCTACTTTTGAAAATAACATGACCTCTCACCAAATTTTTTCATACCTTTCCTATATTGCATTTGCTCCTGAGACAATCTAGACATGTTTCATCTGAAGCCACATCATGACATTTGCAACCCTGAAAAAATAAATAAAATTTCATCATTAAACTGATGAAAGTGACTGATATTATATTTTCTGTTCAAAGATACTTCTAAAACTTTATGATGCTACATATGAGTAGTAAATGGGGTAAAAGGGAAAAAATATATAATAATATACATGCAAAAAGTCAAGGGAGTTTACTTGTGTTGTGAAGTAACTCTAGAACTGGAAAATAGAAGAGAGTATGATGGCAACTCATTGTTAAGTGAGTTTGAAAGTTTCAAAACAGCATGGCTCTTAAATAAGTGCAGCATATAAAAAGGTGTTGACTGAATTCCAGCCCCCTCTCTAGAACACTTTCTAACTTTTCCCCATGTGACCAAATAAACCAGTCAGAGATCAAGCCATCTGAAATTTAGTCTAAGCCCTGCATCATTATTGGAAAATCAAGTTACAGCTGTCCTAATATATTATTATAATCTGGACTGGAATGCTGGTGAAAAGCCCCATTATGAAAACAAATAAACAATAAACTTAATTTTAATTCTGTGAGAGGTTAACTAAATTTCTTACCCCCGTTGTTCCAAGCCCTCTGATGGCTATGACAGATTGCCAGGTTTTTGCTGATGCTTTTGCCATTGCCTGGAAAGAGACAAGCTTCCAGTCAGGCACTCACATGCTCTTCACGTATTTCAGTAACGTGTCATTGCCAACTAGTTCCTCTACAGTCCTCTACACTCCCTTTTTCACAGCCACCTCCTTGACAATTTTGTTCGCAATAGCCTTGGCTTCTGGGTTGCCAAATGTGCACATGTTTGAAAGCACTATCACCAAATTTTCCCCATTTTTCTCGCACATGTCATACATGTCTTTTATATTTATCACTGTTTCATAAGCAACACCTTTTCTGGTGTGTCCAAATCAATCTTTTCACTAGTGTCCTTCAGGTTGGGAGAAACAGAGTATGTACATTTGGGTTTTAAAGTCTCCAATGTTTGGAGGCGTCATAACCACAGATGAAGAAGTTTGAGATATCTTATTCAGCAGTGTCAAAGGCATTTTGAGGCACAATGAGGCAGGTGGTTGTTCAGCCAATACTTTACTCTCCTCGTGTCTTGTGTCTTCTCATGGTTCTTTTGTAAGCTACTGAAATTTTCCAGAACATTTTTTGAATGTGTATAAGGACTCAGTTATGTAGTAATAGTAGTAATTGTTGTTGTCAGGAGTGATGGACTGTGTAGAAAGCTATACCATGAAAGCTATGGCAGAAGATTGCTAATTTCAAGAAACGTTGGAGGAAGGACGGAACGTTGGCTTGTTGGTGAGCTAAGATATAGACTGTAATGGGCTTAAGTAAGTTTATTGAGGATAAGTATTGTACTGCCCTTAGGAGTTGCTCCTTACTAAGATTATTACTCATTGTTTAATAAAGTAGTTGAATTTGTAGGATTGCAGTGTTTTTCTGCCACTTAGATTATACCTTAACAAGTTATGCAGAACAATGCTAAGGGAAAGAGTACCATGTTGAAAATCAGCTTTGATCACTGGTGGTGACATGGAATTTACCACACATGGTCTATCACCATTTCAAGCTTAAATATTTTCACTCTCAATAAACTGGTTTTAGAGTATTTAAAGAATAAATAAAATTAAATTTGTGTTGAATATAAAAGAAAGGTTAAAGTAGCTTTTGGTTTGAAGCAAAGGTCAACAAGGACAACTCGAAGTCTTCGTTTTGGCAGTTCTCAGGTTTTGGATCTCCAGAGCTGGCATCTTCAGCAGAAATGTTGCTAAGCAAGCCACCCACTTGTTCCATCCAAGGTAGCTGTTTTCTAGTCAAGGTGTTGTGTTAACATGCTGCTTAATAATGTGTCCACATGAGATCCAAGCATTATCAAAATTTGAATCCAAGCAATATCAAAATTTGATTCCACATGGTACCCTTCAGAATTTGATACTATTTTGAGTAGATACTGGTATTAGTCCTAGTTAAAAGCCTGCGAAATATTTTCCCAAAGTTCGAACAGTTCACAAGATACAGTGGTTCGAGTGAAATGACACACAATTTTAAGTAAAACCATGGTAAATTCGCCCATGAAGTTTACAACTTGCTCAGAGACAACTGGGTGCAGATTTCATAAAGAGTTTTTGCCAATTTCAAATGAATAGTAAATTCATTCAAGTCAATTAAATTTGGAGAGGATGCAAATAACTATGTTAAAAAATATTAATGTAATCAAGAAAACCTTCAAAAATCGAGATTTTCATGATTTAAATTTCCAGTGAAAATCACTTAAAATATCTTGGATGCGGCCATGTCTCTGCTCAAAATTACTCCATTTCCATAAAGTTTATTTGTTTAGGGGTATATATAGAGGTGATAAAGTCTGTGTGAAGTTATGTATGTATAGCCATGGGAAAGAGATATTTTGTATCAGTATTTCGCTCACGATGACAGGCAAATGAGAAATGGGGACTATGACTGTGATCTGTTAACATCTTGGGAAACATGCTACTGATTCTGGTGAAGACATTCTGGCCTCATATTATATTTGAATACACAATATTAGGGTCACAAAATGTACCTGATGAAATAAATCCAATTTGGAGTGCTGATAAAAGTACACTTGCCAAGCCAGGTGTACGCGGGGAAACTACCAGCCAGCAGCTGACTTTATCAGTGATCCATCTAGAAAAAGGCAGTGGTGAGTCCAGGGACTCACACAACCAAAATCCATTGAGTCCCTCACACAGGAGTGTGAGTCCCACACTCATTGTTATATGAGTTGTACCTATGAATAACACACACAATTAAATGATGTTTGTCTTTTATTAGTTACTTTCAGTCTTTGACATACAAATCATGAACAACTTTTAGCAGGTGGCAATCTCAAAATCTAATTCTTAAATCTGAGCTCATAGATCTGCCTGTCCTTCCCTTTGCACCATTTTTCCAGGGCATCATCAAAATTAAATTTAGCTCTCTGTGGGCCAAGTTTGACTCTCATCAATTTGTGCTGGACATCAACTGCTAGACGATTTCTCAATGGAGTCAAGATGTTATTTTGAACTGAAAAGCACATTTCATTGGCGGCAGTATGTACAGCAGATGTCAGGGCAAGCTGAGCAAGTGTGACAAGATTTGGGAATGTTGATTAGGTGCCTGAGCTCCCACATACAATTACGTGGGTACTGTTCTGCAACCACCACTTTCTTTAAGAGGTTCCATTCTTCTAAAGCCTTGCCAGAGTTAATCAGAGGTGGGCTTGTATTCTCCTTCTGGACACCATTCTCCTTCCACTTTGAGGTCTTAGCTATGTCATAGTGGTCACAGAGGGTTCTGACCTCTTTCTGCCCATACTCTTTAAGTTTTTCAGATAATAATAAGCTTATGGGCCTCATTGATAACACAGCATAGCAGGCCAGTAGGTCATCAGAAGGGAATCTACAACAATAGAAGTACTAATGAATAGACAGTTTCCATCTTGTACAGCAGTACTGTGGCAAATGAAGTGACAAAAGCTGATCAACCAGAGTAAAGTGATCAACCATTCAACTCAGTGCATGCTTATTTAAATCTGCTCTTTATCAATATGAAAGTTATACAGTATAATGAGCATTATGGAAATAAAAGTCTTTGAAACTTTAAACAATCGCCAAATTACTATATTTACACACATGTAAGAACATGTTTCATGATACTGTTAACTTGATTTAATGTTGTCGACTAATTTTCCAATAAAGGGTAATTGTGAAGAAGAGCTCCCCAAAAAACCTGTCGGCCGACTGTCGGTCAACTGTCGGCCGACAGTCTACCGACAGCTAACCAACAGGTTACCGACAGGTCAAGAAAAAAGAAAAATTGTGTTAAAAACGAACAGTTAACATGACATAACAATCCGTAATGGTGATGTATGACTCGACAGACTTCACCTACTTACCGATCGACGGCAAAGTTGATAGTATGTAAAGAAACGTTTCTTCCAAAATGTTGTTATCAGATGCGTATAGGATATATCACTTACGTAATTTACAACACACCAGACAATCTAAGAATCGCATTGGAAGATAATTTAATCGAAAACTCGGCCAAAAACTCTGATAACCATAAGCTACGTATCAGTACAAACACTTTCGTTCAAATCGCCCAACAATGCAACGCTGCCTCTTATGGTATGTTATGTATGTATCAATGATGTTTACCTTGTGCATTTGTGTTGCTAACATCGTCCTCTATCTTGCAGGTTTGGGATGAATTGCTATTTCCAATTTCAAGTTTAATAAATGATACAACTGTGAATCTTTTTACTCGTTATGTTAAGTAATAAATTACTATACGCAATAATTCGATAATTAGACTTGGATGCGTGATGCGATTGATTTAGGCACGCGCCGCTAAAATCACGATTCTACGAGTGAAGTATCTTGTATATTTCACCACTCACAAAACGGCTCCTTTAGGAGCCACCAAATTTTGAAAGTCAATTGTCAACGTATTACACATGTTGGATGTTGTATTGACGCTTAAGGATTCTAGTGACACCTGCAAAAAGATCAATAATTCATTTGTAATCTTAATATTTCTGGTTTGAAGAAGAGGAAGAAAAAAGCATGGCTGTATATAAATATTGGTAGAATTCCCTTAATAGCACAAAACATACATGTATACTTCTTGACTTGTATCATTTATAGCTACCTTGAAGTAACTTATGATTGAAATATTTTTTACGATTTACCTCTTAATTTTAAATAAAAACTCTCGAACTACCGAGTTATCTCCTATTTTAGCATCACAGAAGAAACTGGGATCCAAGTACCAATAAATCAAAAATACTTGAAAACAAACCCTTTTCTTTTCCCGTCATAACTGACGCCCCATCTGATCCAAGGCTCATGATTTTCTTCAGGTGAATGCCTCTCTTACCAAACTCCACCAACACTGCATCTGCTATTCCTTTCCCCGTGGCATCTTGACATTATATGTATGTTACAAAATGAGTGGTTGGCTTTATGTCTTCAGTTATAATCTGAGTGTACAGTGCTAGTCACTTGTGATTTGCAATGTCTGTGCTTTCATCAGCCAGGGCAGTTACTATTGGAGATTTTTCCAAGTTTTCTTTCAGTTCGTCATCAATTACATCTGAAAGGCACTGTAAGGTATCATCTGAAGTTGAGTAAGAATTGTAACTGATGTTGGTTTGTTTCAAAATCGCCATGTCCTCAGGCCCCAGATCGTGAAGAAGTTCAAGTGGCGATTTGAATTTTACCAGTGGGATGCTCTCTATACATAGCCACTGTACACATTTAAAAAGCACCAGGACAGCTTTATTCTGCTTTGTTTCGCCTTTCCTTTGGGGTTCCTTGAATGACTCTCTTATCTCAGGGCCTTGGAGAGCCATCTTGTGTTCAAGGAGACCAGCATGCCGATTTAGCATGGTGTTTTGAAAATTTTGGCACTGGGCTTCCTTACTCATTTCGTTCGATTTGCTTGCCTCTGAATAGACTCTACAATACATATAATTTCCATGTCGGCTCAAAAAATCTTTGTTCCTTTCATTTCGCAGATTTCGCTTGAGCTGATTCTTCATTGTCTTCATTTGCCTTCGCATCATCCTTCTCTATTGCAGTTGCTGCTTCTTGTTCTTGATGATTACTCGCTTCAGGCCATTTTCCAAAGGAGAGCTTTGTTTGCCCCCCCAGGGGCTTAAGCTTTTTCTTCGGTGGCATTTAATTTTCAAGAATAACTATGTTTGCTTTACGAAAGCAAGCAGGACGAAAGCCAGCAGGAAGAGACAGAAAGCATGTGTGGAGGTAATCAGAAGTATTGTAAACTTTCTACTTTCTACCCATGAGTGGTTGAATCGACTGGTGAATTAAGGGCCAGTAAGGACAGAAAAGTAATATAGTGAAGTACCTTAATTCCATGAGTTCATTTATCTACACACATAACTCTGCATCAGTGGCACTTGATAATTTTGGAAGTACCGTGTTGGATGCTCTTGTTACACTTTGGCATTTTGGGAACTTATTGAAGTGTTGACAGAAACTCTTTCACAGCTACCTTGCCACCTCTGCATTGTTGTCATTCTTAACTATGGGTATGCTTTCTTATTTGTCATCATTTACTGATGTGATGGTAGGTAATTTAGTGTTAACAACTGAATTGAAAACGTAAATTTGCCACCATAAAGAGTGAAAAAAAAGCTGGCATTTCGAGCGTTGGCCCTTCATTAGTGCGATTGGAGGAATTGTGGGTTGATATGTAGAAAGTGGAGCTACGCTATTGGTTGGAATATGGCGATGAGAAAACATTAGTTGAATGAAAAGTGCTCATTGATACCATGGGGATTAATTAAGAGTGCCGATTTGAAAGATAAATTTTTGTTCTAGTGTTTTGCGGCTTTCCAAACTACCTGGGTGTAAGGAAAGGCCACAAACTGCCATATGTTGTTTTGAATGATTAGGGAGATTAAAACGTCCAGTGACTGCTTTGGATGCGTCCTTGTCATTGGTTTCTATGTTGCGAAGGTGTTCTTAGAATCGGCCTCCGAGTCATCTTCCTGTTTCGCCAATGTATAACTTATTGGTATAATTTTTACCATCAAAGATTTTTCAACTGGATCATCTTTGCTGTCACCACCACACTTTCCCATTCTTTCTTGCTGTTGAGAATTTCCAAGATGCTTATTGGGTTTTGCTTAGTGGCAAGTGGTGTGATTTTGGCATATTAGAAGGAGTATTCCGAGTTGTGAGGTGTTGTCCCATTTTTGTCTAGCAGTTATCAACCAAAATTGTTTAAATTAATGATAAAAGCATGAAACTTTGCCACGACACTAATGACCTTAAGACTAACATTTTCTGATATAGGGACAATCCAAATTAACTTCTGGTGATGAGAACCACGCATGTCAGAAATTTGTTAACATGGAAACGAGGCTAAGAATTAAAAAATCCTCCTCAGCAACATTGCTTGGGGAAATTTGCAACAAAAGCCTTCAAACATAACAACCAAGTCATTTTCTGTCTATTTGTATTCATCTTATGCTATTAAGCTATCCTTTATAATACAGTATATGGTTTGAACCCAAAGGTAATATGTAATAGTGTAGTTTGATCGTCCAGGTGAGTGTAGTACTGAGAAGAACTGTTTGTTCATTTCGACAACCTGAGCAGAAGTCATCATTAGAGTCAAGTGAAAGGTTGTCGTCAGTCGAATGTACCTAGTCCAGTCAGTTGTGCCATGATGCTATTAGCTGTAAGACTCAAGTGGCATAGGTCAGTCATGATTGGTCGGTTTGTATCCGTTAGTGAAGTTAGGTCGTTCTGTTTGGTTCATTTGTAATGTTAATGTTGTGATTTCTACCAGTTTCACTGATGTAGGAGGTGTGGCAGTCGGAGCAATTGATCTTATATACTGCTCCTTGTCTGTTCCTCGGTTCGTCTTTGTCTTTGACGATAGTCAGTAACTGATGTAGTGTGGTAATGGGTTTGTGAGCGATGCGGATATTGAATGGTTGTAGGATGTGCGAGATGTTCTCAGATATGCCTTTTATGTATGGTATGGTTTCTGTGGTCATAGGAGTTGCGTTGTTGTTAGCTTTGGTAGTAGTAGTAGGTCTGTGAGTGTTTCATTGGATGAAGTCTTCGTTGTAGTTGTTCTTTGAAAAAAGAACAGAGTTGTGGAAGCACTTTCTGACAAAGGGGGTTTGGCCCCACACGTAGCCTTCTTGGAACACTGTTCTCTTGACGTGCTGCTCTAGTCATGCTCTAGTGGGAGGGATACTGTCTAAGCTTCTAGAACTCTTTGAGCTTTTGTTGCTCTTCATTTACTTTTGTAAGGCTGCTTTACGGTCATATATAAGGACAACAAACCTCTCAAGGACAGTCATGCATTCCTCTGTGATCTTTTGTGGTGATGCGTTGAGGACTTTTAGCACTGGTGTCAGTTAGGAAAACAAGTTCCACACATCTCAAGTGGTTTTCTTTCCACGCCCTCTAAAAGACGAAATAATATCACACCCAGTTGGTACATGGAACATTGGTAGGGTCAAGGCTTTATCAGGACCCAGAGACATTGCTATGGCAAGTGCAAAGATATTCTGTACATTCTTTCCAGATCTATAGGTGATCTAGAGTTCATCTCGTGGAAGAGTGCTAGGCACTGAAATAGCAAGTACAACATCTGTATCATTGTTTCTAATTCAATTTCATCGATGTCCGCTTGGGGCTGCATCAAGTACGTGGACTGCAAGGCGAGTATTTTCCTCTTCATGTGTGCAAGGCACAAGTAAGCTCATCTCTGTTCTTTCAGTACTCAATGGGATACCCTTGTCATAGGTAGAGTAGATGCTCTTACCCTTGAGAACCTTCAGTGAAACCACCTTAAATAATATGAATATAATAATTTGTGATTAAACCACTCACAGAAAGCCTTTCTAGTCAGCAGGAATTCTTGTTGATGCTAGTATATTGCGCCTTTTTCTAGAGCCTCTCTTTTCTCACAATGATCTCTTCAGTGAATCGTCCTGATAGACATCCCAGACTAAGTCAGCCCTTCCCGTCGTTTCCAGGTGTTTGAGGATGTAAGGGGCGTGCACGGTACTTAAGTATTCATCAAATGTGTGTGCTGTTCTTGGCAGTAGCATCTGCAAAACAGCAGTTCCATCAAAAATAATTACATCAGTGACTGAGTTAAGTTGCGATCTCTGCTGATGTGCTGGGCAAAGACAGCGCCAAGGCTGCCTTTTGTCCCCCACTAAGCTGATCAAGCTGCAAAAGTGATGGCAGCCATGGTTGGCTCTCATACTTGAAGAAATCTTCTGCATTTCCATCTCGAATTTGACAAGCTATGTAAAGCCGCAAAAATAAAGCACAGTCATCCTTCAAAACTTCCACTTTCATCTCTTCTTTTGAATCAGTCTCCTTTTTCATCAATGTGAAAGTGGGAGGATTATTCTTCTTGAAAGGTTGTGTAACAGGCTTGCTTCTCTTGACGAACTGCTCTTTGGCAAACTAATTGGAATGTTTCTCACCAATTTTTGTAACAATATGAGCAGTTTTAACCACAGTATCATCCATGATATCCCAGATATGGATGTCTATCAGGTTTCCTCCTCCTTCTAGGAATGGGTTGCCAAGTTCTTGAATGAAGATAGTGTATTCAGTTTGTCTTTGCATAATCCTTTCCGGATACCTGACTTCTGCTAATGATGGTCATTTCCCTCTGTTTGATTGTGGCTACCTTTGAACTCTTGAATCATCCTGGAGAGCTCAGGAACAGCCACCATCCATCTTCTCAAAGGTTATGGATTCTCCATGAGACCAACTGCACCTCATTCCCCTTTAACAATAGCATTATCCTGCCTGTGCGTAGGATGTGCACGAGCAGGAGATGCTCCTACCCCAAGGGTAGGAGCATCTACTCTACCAATGGCAATGGTATCCTATCAGGTACTGAAAAAATAGAGATGAGATTACTTGTGCCTTGCATGCACAAAGAGGCAGATACTCGCCTCATGGTCCATGTACTTGATTAGGCTATGCAGCTTATGTATGGGGCCAAACCTTCCATTGTCAGCCAGTACTTCCAAGCCCATCAGACAGGGGGTGGTGGCAGCTCAACAACTCATGAGCACCATTCTGAATAGCTCTACTCATGATCACCATTCTGGATAGCTCTACCGCAAGCAAAGGAATCTTGTCATGAACTTATTCAATGCAGATGCAGAGCCTCATGTAGAGGACCATGCAAGTGCTCAAGGCTAATTTGGCATGCACTGGTTTGTTTTATAGAAGTGCTTCGACAGTTTTGTTGGATTCTGTTCGCAGAGTCATGCTTTCGTAGTCTATAGAGTGGCTTCTGTTTCTCTTCACCGGTGACAAGTTGTGGATGTATGCAACTGTTGATATCATTTCAGATTGACACTTTAGGCTCTGTTTTTTAGACGATGAGGAAGACGAAATCGAAGACATAACTTGCCATGACTATATTTTAAGAATGCGAGTGATTTGCAGCTGTCATATGATGCAATCATGATATACTACATGGGTGCAAAAGTATTTTATGCTCTGGTAAAGTTGTCACCTTTTAATTGGTCAAAAATGTTGCTGACCTTTGATGAAATAAAGGCTCATGATTAGCTCTACTCTACCGTAGCCGGTATGGACAAATTACGTACGTTATTCACACAAAACACATCCAAGCTTAATAATTTGCAGAAAAACTTAGCAAAAAGTCAGCAAACTTAATTAAATGCGCGCAAACTTTGAAAAGCGCTGACAAACCTGATGAAGGACATGCAAACTTAACAAAATGCGTACAAACTTTATGACAGGCACACAAACTTTGAAAATAGCATGCAACGTTAAAGTGAAACGCACACAAACTAAAAATGAAATGTATACAAAGTTAAAATGAAAAACACAAACTTAAAATGAGACACGCAAACTTAATAAAACGTGTACTAACTTAAAATGAGACATGCAAACTTGATAAAATGCGTACAAACTAAAAATGAGAGAAACAAACTTAATAAAACGCACACAAACCTTAATTGAGACAAACAAACTGAAAATGGAAATGCACACCAACTTAAAATGAAACACATACAAACTTAAGAATAAAAACGCATGCAAACTCAAAATAGAACATACGCAAACTTAAAAAAATACGGACACAAACGTAAAGTCAAATGGACACAAACTTAAAATGAAACACCCGAACTTTTAGAAAGTGAAATAAGCGGACACAAACTTAAAATAAAGTGAACACAAACTTAAAATTAAACGAACAAAAACTTAAAATCGGAAACGAACACAAACTTAAAATCAGAAACAAACACAAACTTACAATTAAACGAACACAAACTTAAAATAACACACACAAACCTAACAAACAAGGGCCTTGAGAATACGAGCCACATGTACGCTGACGCCATTTCAGCTGCATGCTGTCAAATGGCAAGCGAAACGTGAGCTTACTATTTTCTGTTATTTCCTTTCCTAGATATGCCTTTGGGGAAATCAAGGACAATGTGGTGTCTTTGTTTATACTTCTTGAGTCTAATTACCGATCTATAAATCCAAGATCTGAAATCTTGCCCCATAAATAAAGCAATTGAGAATAATGAGTGTAAAAAATGATTTTTGCTGTTGATCAAGTGATCAGTGCAATGCTTCACCCCTGCGGATATCTGCATACTGATTTATGGCTGGCATGATATCAGAAAAAACCCAGACTAGTCATGATGCACTTTATTTTTCTTTAACAGGATACATGAGCTCATTTTACTCTTCAGATTTTCACAGCTCTAACTATGGTAAAGATTTGGTTGTACACATGTAATGTGTCTGGAATACTTTCAAACCAGGCAATTTCATTACCAAGAGGCCCAAAGTTAACTATCTATAACAATCTTAAAGAGTGCATCCTTACATCCTCAATGCAGGAGATACTTACAGAAAGATACTATTCTTCTTGGAATCAATCTATGGAGTGTTTATGACCATTAGATCATTGTGATATTTACTCAACAAAGTGTACGGTGTACACAGACGTGGGAATTGGTCGCCTGATCGGTTAATTTGCTTTGCCATTAGAAATGAACTCAATGGGCCTGGAAAATTAGCAGGATATCATTTTATGACGCAGGTGTTAGGAAAAAAAATATCATCTTAGAGTATCTAGAGACCAAATTATGATGTTATTATGACCTCTTGATCCTTAAGGATGTGCATCTTGTAAAAGAAGGTGGTTATCTCGGCATATCTACAGATGTCCTGGCATTAATGGAACATGGCATCTTGATGGGTATGACAAAATTAAACCATTTGGTTTTCCCATCAGTGGGTGTATTGATGGTTATTCAAGAAGAGTTGTGTTCTTGGAAGTTGCCTCCAGTAATAATGATCCAAAAATAATAGCCGGATACTACCTTGAGTGTGTTAAAGAAGTTGGAGGATGCCCCAGGCTAGTAGAGACTGACTGTGGAACTAAAAATGGTGTTATTGCCAGTTTGGAATCAGTCTTCCGTGGGCAAGACCAGGACCAGTTTTGTGGACTTGGAAGCCTTGGATATGGGACCCCAACATCCAACCAACAGATTGAAGCTTGGTGGTCTATCTTTCAAAGATTTAGAAGTGACTGGTGGATTAGTCTGTCTAAAGACTTAGCCGGTTATGTAGCATTTCAGAGTGGTAACTAGAAACATATGTTTTACTTACAATGTTGTTTCATGGACCTGATTCAAAAGGACCTCGATGAAGTAGCAGAGCTGAGGAACAGTCATACCATCAGACCCAACAAGATGGCAGAATGTCCTTAAGGAGTACCAGATGAGATGCACTTTTTCCCTCAGAATTCAGGTAATGAAAACAACAACAGCAACAACAACAAAAATAAAACAATACTGTACTACTACTGAGTTCTAGGAGGTATATTTAATGTGCAAAATGGGATCCTTGCTTGATAGAGCCGGTGGGAACTATAAAACACTTCCAACATCACGAGACCTTCACTGAAATCCCAAATACAACATAAAGGCTAGGTCAAAGGAGGGCAGATTACCAGTACCTGAAATTATGAAGTTGATAACTTGGAAATTAGCAAATTCTTTATCCATTGGAGGTGGCACTGACATGAAGTTCCATGTAACAATTGAAATGTTACAATTCACAGAGGCCCACGTCAGTTGCAAGGGTTCTTGTTGTGTTGGATTATATCATGCAAAGGAATGCCTTGCAAAAACCAACAGACTGGAAGAAAGATTTAGAGGTTTACTTTCAGTTGATAATGCTAGCAGAAGTGGAATAAATGAAAATTAATTTTTTGTAGGTTGATGGCTTGGCTACAACTATCTGTGGTCCCAATAACAAATTAAAATGTTTAGAGTTTGTAAACATAATTTTTAACCAGACATGGTCTGATGCTACTCTGGTTTACAGATTTAATGAATTTAACCAAAGAAGTTACAATTCATAGATTCAACGTTTTGACACTCCTGTCTAGTGCCTTCATCAGGGGTGATCTATACGCTGCAACAAGAGGTCCTTTTATATGATCACTAATTAGTGGCCTTTTTTCTGACGAGGTGGAAATAGGCATGAGGAAGCAAACCGCCATTGTCACGATTTAGGGGCGTGGGCAGAGTTAATATGCCAAGCCTCCAAACAAAGGCACCGGTTGTAACGCCAATAAGTGATGATAATTTTAGAATTTTTCCAGCCAAGTGTATGGTTAGTTAGGCATGTGTGCTCCGATAAAGCTAAATTTTCCTCTTTGCAAAAGAAACTGCTTTTTAATGCTCTTTTAAATGTGTACCAAACTGAAGTTTGGTTTGTCTGATGTATTAGTTGTCACAGTAATTGCAAGGAATAGAATAAATGGTGTCGGTTTGTTGTTCTTTTGTGACAGGATCCTTAGGTTTGGCGAAAATATGCCCAAAGTCTGAAAAGGTTTTTGAGCAACTTTAACATTGTGGCTATTCAGAATTCTCTTGATGGGTTCTGTAGCACCCTGAATGTAGGGAATAACAGCAAAACCAGTCGCTGGTTCCCTTTCATTAAGAGTGTTACTAGTTGTAACTGGTTTTTGGCAGTTACGGAGAAAGGTTTTTGTATAGCCATTTGCCTTTAGGACATTAGGAACATATTTCCTCTCCTCAGCCTTCGAATCGAGTGAAGATAGTAGACAGTCAGCCCTCCTAAGTAAAGTTTTGGCTACAGACTTTTTATGGCAAGTAGGGTGGTGAGAATCAAAAGCGAGGTATTTGTCGGTGTGTTTAGGTTTACGGTAGACACTTGTCTCTAAATTACCCTGAACCCCTCTGGGGGTTCTATAATATCCATATAGTTCAAGAACTATATCGATATTATGACTTCCCTTGATTTTTCAAATTAATTTATCACTTATTTATCCCTTGGTGTTTACAGGTAACATTTCAATTGCATATTACACAGTGAAAACTATGTAGGTTGTTAGCTGCTACAATGATGCTCCACTCTTTGGTCCATGCCTTTTGGAAGCAACTGTAGTACTTAGCCACCCCTTGACTTGCTTTTTTTGGCTTCTCATCAGATGAAATGCCTGAGGTTTTGCTGAGGGTTGAGGTTTAGATGATGGTGGAGGGGTACTTGATAACAGAGATGTGGTTGATGACGAAAGTGTGTCAGTTGACGGTGGTGTGGTTGATTAAGGTCTGGTGGCTGATGGCGGAGGTGTAGTTGATAGTGTAGGACTGGTGGTTGATGGGGAAGGCTTGGTGATTGGCGGTTGAGGTAAACCATTCTTCGCTATTACATCTTCTGACTTCGGCAGGTAGAAGGGGCAATAAATGATTTGGACCCCACCCTTTTTTGTTGAGTTGGTTGAACAGTGACTGGCGAATGCCAATGGTGTCATGCTAACATTCATGAGGGCCCTATCTGTGCCAGCGTTTTGTACATTAGGGTACACCGACTTCCCAGGAAAACCAAGGACATTGGCAAGACCAAAAATATGCCACATATTAGCAAAGGTACCAAATCGGATAGTTCTTAGTACTTCCTTCCAGTAGCATGAAGGATTCCTTGAGATAAAGTGGACAGAACTTGGCAGCAAATTTCTGACGGCAGCATGTGCGCCCATTAGAGATTGCAGATAATTGTCATAAAAATACTTTGTTTCATTATTTGCCAACTCTAAAATTGACCGTGTACTCAGTCAGTGTGATGGTCTTCATTTCTGAATAAGATGATGGAAACCGCCCTGAAGAGGCAGTTCCCATCTCCAAAGCACATCACTGGCCTCAATTCTCTTAGGGCATCATCCGGATACAAGGTTGCTGCTGCATTGCCAATGGAGAATTGGTTGGCTGCAGCAAATATATTGAATATAATGAGATAAATTTCATTTTATGCAAAAATAAATTGAACTTCTCTTTTACAATTCATGTCATTCAGTGCTGAGAGGGAGTCACCATGCTCCTCAAGGAGTTTGTTTATTCATTTGATCTGAACAGGAGACAACTTGGGATATCCTATATATTCTAGTTAACACTGAACTAGAAAACAGTCTCTATTACAGATACGCAAAGATACTGAACACGAAATCCGTCAGAAAGCCAAAGCTGTCTTTGATTGAAATTTTCCACTTCCTATTCCACGAGTTTGCAATTCTGCCGATTGAATAATAATAATAATAATAATAATAATTGATTAGTTGTATAGCCCTATTTACATGTACAGATCAATAGTGCTTTACACTGAATAAAAATTAAAAACCTTATATATCTAAAAAAAAAATTGATAATAGTAATGGTAGCGAAAAATATATAAGAATAAATTATTATAACTGAGTTAATGATTACTAAAAGCTTCATTAAACAGATACGTTTTAATAGCTTTTTTAAATTTATCCAAACACTTAATCATTCTAATTTCATAGGGAAGTCTGTTCCATAAGTATGGTGCTGCTGCCTGAAAAGACCGAGCTCCAAATTGCTATCGGTAAAATTTTAGCTTCTTATCAGAGACAGAGTAAAAACAGTTGGTTGTTAGTGTGCTAAAGAACAAGTCAACCAGATTTCCAAGTCAGGCGTAAGAAATTACCCTCAACACGTGAGATCAATGTCTTTGCTCTGTGGGCGTGAAACTTTCGCACAATGCATGAGTGCTAGCAGGTATAACAGTGTATATGAGAAATTGCTTTTCTAGTGTTGAAGTGGACTACAACTCTAGTCTCGGTATCACCTTGTGATCTGTGAAACCACAAGAGGCAAAGTGATCTATAAAACCACTAGGGGAACAGTGGCAAGTGCAGTATACTTTAAGTTTACTTAGAATGTATTCAAGATATAAATGAATGGCTACAGCTAGGTTATATAATACGTATAACTGACAGGCATGAAACTGCTAGTTCATATGATTAGCATTCAAACTTAAGTATGAAATTCATGTCTTTAATTCATTTGGTGCAACTAACCATGACAAATAACCTAAATTTTGTATGATGAAAGACTGCTTCTTAATTTTTTTAATGCCAAAAAAATGTTACAATGAAATCCACTGTTCTATTATTAACTATTCATTGTTTTAAAATGAAAAATGTCTATTAAATGGACCTCATCATTCAATAATGTACAACAGAAAAAAAATTTCATGGAAATTAGCAATGTCTCTTACAATGTCTCTAGTTGGGATGAAAGCCAATATAAAATTGCTAGTCAAAAAATGTAATAATTAATAACTACAGCAGTAAGCGAGCCTCATGCAAATCCTTTTAGAAAATAGTCTATCTACTGAGTATTCAATCATAACATATTAAATCTTCATTCAATCAATTGAATTGTTCACTTTCCCGGCAGGTTGCCAACCACTTTCCCTTGTGGTTAAAGAACACATTTTGTTTCTTAGGGCTTGCTTGACTGCAGATGCCTCTCCCCCTTGCTTTACTGGAAAATCTGAAAAAAAAAAAGAAACAAAAGAACTTAACTTACTGGACTTGTGCATGGAAACAAGGTTGTGTAACTTTGGAAAGACTCAGACCAGAATAAGTAATTCAAGATCACTTAGATTAAAGGAACTTAAGAATCCTTACTCTGAGTTTTCCTCAGTTTTCTATATGGATGATCTCAAAGAAAGTCTTGGAAACTTGCACATGTTGTTCAACATGTACATTCTGATTCCCAACAGTAATAAAATGACAAAAACACTAAATGCTATGTACTCACCCAAAATGGAGGAAACAATGTCAGCATTTAAGCCCTCTTTGGCATTTGCTCCAGTCAAATTCTTGCCCTCTAGTTCAGAACTTTTATAAAAGCAGCTGAGCAGAAAACATGCTGCTGAAGTTGGGCTGTTTTTACTCTTTGCTGTGTTTATATGATCCACATATAAGTAGACACCTACCTTTTGATGACTCAACCACCCAAAAAGGAAACACAAATTTAACTTTAAGGTTTTCATGACAATCACGTCCTTTATACTTATCTTCTATCATGTTTTTAATGTTAAATTGAGGTAAGGCTATGGTGAACATTTGAATTTTAAAAGTGTGTGACCACTAAAGCAGTTCAAGTACTTTCAATTGATACCGGTAACCATGTAAGAAATGATTTAAAACTCTAAACAAAATCTCTTTACATTGTATTTGATGGTCAGATATGCCTCTAAAGCTCAAATTATAAAACAGCTATAAACTGAATCACATAAGCTTTACAATCTAATTGCCAGGTAGGCCTGAAAGCATTTACCTTGAAGTTTGCTGCCCAAATCTCGGGGACTTACCCAGGTTTAGGGAGCTCTTCATAACAACCATTCACTACAACAAATAAATGGATTACGTTATAGCTTTAGTTACATCATTATTATTGAAAGATTAAATGTAGCAATCAATCTGTGGGTCAGTCTGTTCGACTGTTACCAGGATTGGTCATAAGTATGTAAGTGTGGAAAAATACTCTTCGCCTCAAAATAATATTCATATCTTAATAGAAGCATCACGATATGAAACAATATGATGCATCATTAAAATACAATTTGCAAGTGTAGTAACCTTACTAAACTGCTTTAAAATGGTTTATTCCCTAATTTCAGAGTTATTGTAATCTTATACAAGTGAGGTAGACTATGAGCAACTGGTACCCATCTTTTCCCCCACAATTAGTCAATCTAATGAGAAGCAAAAGTAAAAGCAGACAAGAAAATGTCCTGCATTCTCTATATTATGATTTAATTTATGAGTGCTAGTCATGTTAAAAGTAAGTGAAATTACCTTGAGCCTTGAGTTGAGCAATATCTCGATCTTGTGTGGCTATAATTTCCTTGTACTCCTCACATTTTTGGTAGCTGTGGTAGAACATGGACCTAGGCTTTTTTTCCACCCACAGCTGGCCTTGGAGAAAGTTGTGGTTGACTCTGGCTGAAATCCCTGGGTCTTTTTCCGCCAACTGTAGCTCTAGGGGTCTGTAAAGCTGATATGGCAGAGTTGGGAGGGGGAGGGGTTGATTTAAAGCTGATTTGTGAGAGTTGGGATGGGGATGAAGGTAAGATGAACATTCAGATATAATATCTCTTCCACCAAAGTATTCATCATCCATGGGCTCAGCATTGTCATACTCCACTTCATCAGATTATTGATAAATGGCTGCTTGCTTTCAACATCCAGATTTCTTTCTAAAGGTTTCATTTCTGCAAGTATGCAGTTATCCCTTTCCTTCAAAGCAGCTCTTTCCTTTTCCTCTAAAGCCTTTTCCCTTTCCTTGTTTTCCTTAGCCTTTTGTTATTCTGCTTGTTTCTTCTCTTGTTCTGCTTTCTTTCTTGCAAATTGTTCCACATCAGCCATTTTGTTTTTTGTGGATTCTTCATCCTCCTCCTCCTCCTCACTGCCATCCTTTTTCTTTGTTCTCTTTCCCGTTCTTTTTTTTACTTTGTTCTGTTTTTTTGGGGTTTTTCAATTTCTACATGACAACTTTTCTTTTCATCACTCCCTCTTTATCATCTGCAAGTTAACACATTTCCAGCCATCAAAAAGATATCCACTAAAATGAAACTTCAGTTGCAGCCACCAATCACATCACAAGTTTGAAACACAAGAATTGCAGCTGTTTGTGATCTTGTTGCCCCCTCTCTCATCTATATGATGCTAGTTTTAAATTGTTTTTATCAAATTAAATTATTTTATTAAATCCTACCTACAAAATATACAACTTGCAAGAGGCACACCAAGTACCAGTAGTTTGTCACTATCCCTTTTCCATTGATTTGGGATTACAATATCCAGTTCTATCCTTAATTACCTTGATCATGACTTTCAAAAAGATTTTGAGAAAATGGACCATGTATCAAAGTAGGTGGCACCATTTCCATCAATGTCATGCTTCCATGCTGAAAACCGAGCCACGAGCATTAAAAAAAAACTGGCTCATTTTTTTAAGAACTTATTTTGGCAAACCTTTCATTTATCATAAGCATACAACAGCAAATGTATTCTCCATGTATTTCTCATTAGATTACGAGTTTATACCAATGAAACACATACTGAGTGATAATTTATAAGGCCATTTTACTCTTCCGTCTCAGAAAACATTGAAACTTAGAATCTTAGGATGGATGCATTAACCACTCTGCAAAAGCTGTATATTTTTCAGCAGAGTGAGATGGAAACTTTTCCCATAGCTTAAAAGGTGGCATGCCAAATCACAAGGAAATGTGGCCACAAAGCTAACTCAGAGTTAATTCTTTCAGATTTGCATAGAAAACCAAAATCAAACAACTTAGCTCTGTGTCACAAGATGATAAAAAAATGTGCTCAGACTCATCACTTTTCAAAATAATTGTGGACTAGCAGAAGGTATCCCCATACTGTGCCTCTTTAATGCCGTCCTCTCTTGTTCTGAAGCCGTTGTCAGTTTTGATGTCTAGAATACCATCATCTACAAACTGAACCAAGTAGTACACTGTACAAGCAGGAAAGAAACAAATTAATGGAAAGTTTTACGTTTTAACAAGAAAGTTAAATAGTATGAGCAGAAAGTTTTATTTTAAATATGTGCTCCTATTTGTAAAAAATGTAATGCCCTAATTTTGACAGGAAGTCATGTACAGAGAAATTGGGAGGTACTGTATTCATTTTCAAGTTTTGTGGTCTCTGGGTCTATTAAATCACCCGCAGTGTGCACATGTGGCCTGAATTTGAAAATGAGTGCGAAAGCCATGAATAGACATTTCAAATCAACCACAAGAAAACTAAATATATCTCATTTGTACATTGTGAATATAATTTCGAAAATATCTTGCACCAGAACAATCCATTTCAAAAGACCTGCAATCTGTTTCTGGAATATGTTTGTTTCACAAGAAATCAAATTAAGAGAAAATCAACCGGTGAATGATCACTATATGCTCTGGTAGGGCAGAAGAGCAATGTAAGCTTGATAATTTATGCATACACATTCTGACGTGCTTCAATTCAGTACGACTATAACAAAGGATATTAATTCAGAGTTAACCCAAAATGTCTCAAACCTTGATCCTCGAATCATTTGGGAGCCTTGTGCAATCTTCTAGAGTTGGTATTACCTTTCTTTGACACACAATAAATATATAAACACATACTGTAGCTTCTGCTGTGGCTGAATAACGTTTAGTTTGGGCCAACTTAGCCTTTGATACATGAATTTCGCACTCTTTGCTGGGCATCCAGTGAAGGGGCATTGTGGGTCACATCGTTATTGGGGCACGTGGGTCATGTTAGTCATTGAGGTCATTCAGGTCATTCAGGTCAGCAATTGAATGAGCGAACATGGCCGACAACTGTGAGATTGCTATAGGTCCATATTTGAAACATTTATGTGATTCTTCCACATGTAATGTTCCAAGAACTACGAAATATAGATGGAGCAAGAAAGCTAAATTAGTGAGTGAGAGGGAGGAGAGCTATCCAGAGGAAAGAAACCTAACAAAAAGTCACATAGATTTTAAAAAGCGACTTCTCAAGAATTGCACCGCTTTTGCCCCCTATCAAGTTCACCTCTTTGAGTCTGCCTCTCCCTCATACCATGTTTGCCCCCTCACTTTTTGAGTTTGCCCCCGCCAAGCTGAGTTCACCCTAGCCAAGCCTCCAAACCTCTTGTTTAGTAACTCTCTAGTAGACATTTCTCCCACTTGAACTGAAACTGGGGCTGAAGTGAGCTCAAGGTGTGGCACTGTCATAGCTTTAACTGGAGCTATGTGAGCTTTCCCCACAAGGAATGTACAATGGATGTCACCTCTCATTCTTGACTCTAAGGTAAGTCACCTGACTATAGCCTGTCGAACTGACATCCGAGAAGCTGTGGATCTGTCCTGAGATAACCATACCAAAGTTCTTGGGCTTGAGACATTGTTCCATAAAGAATTGCTCCAAGTTAGGTAACTAGCTTTTCCACTTCACCCAACGCACACAGAACTCTTGGCTGATTTCATCATCCCAACTCATTTTCAAACGACACAAATCCTGCTATATCTTCTTTCCCACCAACAGAAAAGGTGCAGCTATTCCTGGGGGGTTGTAGATAGAAGATATGTTGGACAAAATCCCTCTTAGTGTTAGCAGTTGGTCTTTTATGTTGATTCTGAAACTGGACATGTCAGACTCAATCCCCTACCGAATGCTCAGGGCCCTCTTGATTGGATAATAGTTGTTGCCTAGTTCCAATGATCTCACTCCATGGGCACATGCTTCTTCTGAAATACTTTCAAGAACGACCTTATTGTTACTGATGAACTTGGCCAAATTGAACCCTCCATATGCACAAGCGCAGTGAACACCATGCATTCTTTTGACAGCTAAGTCTACTGACTCTTCTGAACAAAGACAATTGTTGACATAGAAACTCCTCAGAACATCAGCAGTATCTGCACCAACAACCTTCTCTACGTCATTGGCTGCTTTCTGCAACGCGAAGTTTGAGCAACTCAGTGATGAAGACCTGCCAAATAGGTAAACATTCATCTGATACTCCTCAAGATCCTTTGTTAAATCTCCATCAGGCCACCATAGAAATTGAAGGAAGTCTCCCTGGCTTTCTGGCACCCATCAAACTTAATGGAACATTGATTTAATTGTCACTTGCAGACGCAATTGGACCCTAGTGAAATCTGGTCAGAACACATATGAGTCAGTTCGTCAAGTTTGGCCCTGAAGCAGCTTGTTGTTTAGTGATTTGCCTTTAAATCTGGTGCTGCAGTCGAATGCCACCTGATCTTGTTAGGTTTCTTGGCATGGTAAAAACCATGGTGGGGTATGTACCAAACTTGACCTGTCTTTGCATGCATAAGATGTGACAGTACCTTCTGAGCAAAACCATAGTCTGCGTAAAACTTCTCGCTCTTGATAAGACTCTTCCTTAACCAGTGTGCTCTTCGGAGGACTTGCTCCCTGTTGTCAGGAGACTATGGATCATCACTGTGGAGTGGAAGGGGAATCTCATAAAGAAGATCTTCTAAGTGTTGAGTTCCCTGGCAGACTATCTTCAAAAACCTTTTGTCTTTTTGTGAATGCCCTTGCTCTTTGTCGTCCATTTGCTCGGTAAAGTCCAGTTCAAACATTTTATTCAGTGTTTGTGGTGTGACCATCTCTCTAACTTTGGTCTCCACCATGAAGTGATGACCGTGGTGTTTCCCCGAACCAACTTCCTTCGCAGCAACTCTACAACAACTTACAACTGGATGCTCTGTACTGCACATGTACAGGGACCCCATTATCACCCCCCTCTGGCAAATGTGTTGATTGCAAATGGACCACCATTGTCACTCGCTAATATGCCTGCTGGTTCAAGAGCCTTTGGGCAATTCAAGCCAATCAGAAGACTGATCCTGGCATTGGGCGACTGTGGAGGTAAATCTTCCAGTATGCTTCTAAGATGTTTCCCTTCAATGGGCAAGGTCATGTGTAAGGATGTTTTTGGGCATAGAAAGGTGCTCTTTAGTGAATGTCTTCAGTAACTGCACAGGATGATCACCATTTAAATCAGTCACGACCAATCCATTCAAGACTTTGGAGTTGTGCAACTTCGCACTGTCGATGGTCTTCACCATCAGCCGCGTCTCCATACCATTCACCTTTAGCATGGCTGTGATATCACTGAGAACAAACAATCTGGTACTACAGGCATTGAGCATGGCATAAGTGAGGACTTCTCTCCCTTCAGATTTGAGCTTGACTAGAACGATGGGATGGGCAGAAACGGATTCCTCAGTACCTACGGCATTACAGATATTCTCTTCCACTTTTTGTATGGGCATTTGATGCAGAGTCCTTCTGTTGCAGAGGAGGGTGGCTCAGTTGCTTGGGGGCCTCTTCGTTATAGGCAAAGTTGTCATCATGCAGTCCTATAGGATGTCAACGAGAACACTTCTAACAGGTTTTCATCTGAACACAACTGTGAGCTCTATGTCCAGGATCGTAACAAGCAAAGCAGAGTGCTTTCTCCTTAAGAAAGTCTTTCCTCTGCAACCAAGATTTCTTTAAGTAATCCTTGCAATTGTCTAAGTCATGACCCTTGCTACAAAGTACACAAAGGCTTGTGGGCTTGTGGGAGCCCATCAGTTAGTCAGCGGTTACATTTGCATGATTGGAAACGTGATGAGAGATACGAGTACGCTCCCCAAAGGTTTTAACTTGCCAGGGCCTTTCCCTTTGTTGGTACGATCAGGTCTATTAGAGGAACCATGCACGCGACGCAGAGCTTCTCACGAGAAAATGGATTGGTTGCAATCCCTGCTTCTGCTTGCACAAAGTTCATGAAATCGTCGAAGGTGGTGATTGCTCCTCTTGTGGTTCTTGTTCATTTGCTTCTCAGTTCCATCAGTCTTGAGGCGGAAAAGGAAGTTTGGTCACTAAGCTCTGCAGATTATTAGGATGATTGAGAATAGACAGGAAAGTTAGAGTTGACATGGTGCTTTGGCATTGGCTGAGGAAGATAGAAAATCTGTCTAGCCCAAGCTCGTCTCCTGGTCAGATGTAGGGCCACTCGTTAATCTTAAGAAAAACGTTCAATTTAATTTTCTCACCAACATCAACACAATCAAATTGTGCCCATACAATACCTGAGGGTTTGCCAGTTTGCTGTAGTTGAATAAGTTTGACTGTGTTAGCAGCACCATTTGTCAAGCCATCATGAGTTCTTATGTTAATAGATACGTCTGTCCTTTCACCTACTGCAAGGTTCAATAATGTATGTTTTGTTTGGTTGATCAAGTGTTACTTCTTTAAGAATTTTTTTTCTGAGAGTGTGAGATTGAGCTCCAATGACAGTGACAGTGTCATGTGCTTTGATTGAGTACTTAGGACCAGACATAGCATGCTGAACTCTGTCTTTGAAGTTATCTACTTTAGCATTTTGTAGGAATAAGTGAGGTATATCAAGATATTCAGTACTGTTGGAATCTATTAATCTCTCTTCAAACTTCATAATATCTTGGCAATTATGTTTACCTTCTCTTAATCTATTTAGCATTTGAGCAAACATTTTACTCTCTCTTTGCCTCGTAATTTCATGCAATTCAAACATTCTAAAATGTTCTTGGCAAAGGTTGGGTGTAAGAATAGAATACTCTGAATTATCTAGGTCTCTAAATATATATCCATCTATTACTGGCTGAAGTTGAAAAAGGTCACCTATAGCAACAATACTCACAGTTACAAAGGGTAAATGACCTCCCTTAATATCTTTACGTCTGTTATTGATTTGAGTATTAAACATACTGTTGCCTACCATGGAAATCTCATCGATAAATATCAATCTGGCACCACCTACTGTATTTACTTGTGTATAAGTTGAACTGGTGTATAAGTCAACCCCCCACTTTCGAGGTCAAAAATCGGATTTTTCAGACAGATGGAAATTTCCCAAAAAGTTAATCTCTTATTTCTGAGAATGTATTGAAAACACAGGGAATTCAAAAAACAGCAGAGCAAAACGTAACTGTGCTCTGGGAAGTTTATTAGCACTTGTTTATGCACTTATCAGTGGCCATCCCGGGGGGTTAACCCCAGGGAACCCCCGGGCATTTGCAAATTCCACCTATCCAGGGCCAATATTCTTCCACAAAAAGCTACCACTGTCCCTCCCCTGGGGAGCATAATTTGAAAGGACCCCCAAATTGTAACTTAATTTCCTGCATAATTTTCAATAAAAGTTTAACAATAGTATATACAGTTAGCAAAAATAGCTAGTCCACCTGTTTTCAGCACACAGTGATGTTCAGCTTTATACCTTATAAGTCATAGAATGACAATTTCAACGAACGTACACTTACTTTGGCCTGTGTTTACTATACAGGGCTCTACAGGGCTCAAAGTTAAAGACAACCCAAGTTGCTTTTTGCCGGTGACTACCTGGAATAAAGTAGCGGCAAATATCATGTGTTTTACGGCTCTGTCAGTCTCAATTTTGAGCCTTGACAAATTACTTGCAATTGAAACAAACAGATTCTTTTATTTTCTTTCGAAATCTTCACGCAGGGTCCATGGTACCAGATCTCGCATGCTTTGCCTTGTTTCTCGCACATGTTCATGAATCTGTGAAAAAAAAGAATTATTATTCTTTTATCTTGTGGAATAAAGATAGCTAATACTGCTATCTTAGTAACGGACTAAGCGAGTGTTATTGCTTGCCCATACTCCTCCTTCTCGCAAAAGCACCAAACAAAGTAGAAGGAATGTTCACGCACCTGCCCATAAAATAGTAACGTTAATGACATAAAAAAGGTAATTGAGCACATCAACATAAAATTGAACATAAATAACATTTTCCCAGGGTTGCTTTCTTACAGGAGCACTCTGCGGCTCTTGCCTTTTGTCTGGATACAATGTTAACGTGCTCGACCCACATGTGAACATTGGTCACTGGCAGACAGCAGTTGTCCGCCAATGCAAGAAGCTCCTCGTCTTAGCTTTATCATTAGTGGCTTCTTCAATGACACTTTTGGGTATTATTGAGTATTAAGTCTGTGAAGTAATAAACCATGGTCGACCGTGTCAAATGCCGCAGAAAGATTAAGCAGTATAAAACAACAGTACAACCACGATCCACAGTACGTAAGATGTCGTCATGAACTCTCAGAAGGGCAGTCTCAGTGCTATGCAATTTCTTGTAAGCAGATTGTAATTTCTCATTGCTGTCATCAATATACTGCACAAGCTGTACCACAACCAATTTCTCAATCAATTTAGAGGCGAATGGAAGGTTAGAAACAGGACGAAAATTCTTAAAATCTTCAGTATCTAAATTAGTCTTCTTTAACAATAGAATAATCAAGGCAGTTTTGAGTGAGTTTGGCATAAGAGCCTCATCTAAGGAATGATTTACAATATCCGTTATGACTGGTAGCAACCTTGGTAAACATTTTGTTAGCACAGAAGCTGGTAGTTGATCGAGAGCACAAGTTTTCACTCTGGAGGATTTAATAAAGTTAGGTATAAGGTCAGTAGTCAAATTTCATCTGTAAACCGTGGCGCATAAGGGCAAAGAGTAACAGACCTACGAATGATTGGGGCATGATTGTCGATCATAGATTGAAGAGTGGAGTTGAATTGATCAAAAGCTAATGAAAGGTCATCATTTAGAGGTGATCTAATTAGCACAGAGTCTTCCAGGTCAGAGGAGAACTTATACATGTCAATGGCACATAAACGTTGAAAAGACAACATTTGATCTTGAGCAACATGTTTACAAAAATCCAGATTACACCAGATCATAAAATGATCAGAAAGTGCAGGATCAAAGACTAAGAGATTCTTAATGAAAGATTGTTCCTGTGTAGTGATAATGGGGCCAAGAGTATGGCCATTCTTATGCGTAGAATCATTTACATGCTGGCGAAGGTTAAATGAATGAAGAAGGCCAGTAAATCGCCGACCAGCATTATTTTGAGAATCAACATGAAAGTTGAAGTCACCAACAATCAGCAAATAGCCTGATGCCGTTATTATATGGGCAAGATAGCTAGCAAACTCATCAAAAAACAGGGACACATCGGATGAAGGAGGAAAGTACAAGACAATTAACAGACAAAACACTTCGTAGCCCTGAGTTCCAGCTCAAGATGTTCGAGCAATAGGATTCATGTGCTTGAATTTTGGCCTTGATATTATTCTTGAGAACAATGCCAACCTGCCACCAGTAGTATGTAATTGAGGGACATGGTGGAAAACATATCCGTCTTGACAAATGTCACAGATGTAATATAAATCCTAGTCATCACAACGAAGCCACGTCTCTGACAGGGCAAAGAGGTCGATATTGTGATCAGCTATGAAATCATTTATCAGCCGAGACTTGTTACAAATAGATCGAGCATTCAAAAGGCAAAAATCCAAAGGTACAATGGTTGATAACTTAGACCACAATGGATTGTTTTGTAGTTTAAAGTCGATAAACAATCACGACATTCTCTTGCCAAGAACATTATAGAGATTTTTGCAGAAGCCATATTTTTTGCCTATTGCATGCCTAATACCACGATATTTGCATCTCGTGGAGTCACTTGGCGAAAAGCTTCATATGTGATGAAGAAATTATAGCCGTTGTTTTTTCAACAGCCTTCTACATTAAGCATGCAGTAGCATGAAAAATTAGAAAAATTTTTGAGTCTTGTAATTATGGGGTCAAACAGTGGAATGTAGAAAACCGTTCCTTACGTTCACTGAAGGGATTATTGTTGAATCAGTAAGTGATCCATCTTCTGGTAATGAATACCAATTTGTATTAAAGTAAGCAGCAACAAATTGTTTTAATTCTTTTAAAAAACACCATAAACTACAACAGCTGTTCTCTATTTTAAAACTGTTTTATATGAACCTGGTTTAAGAAACTGAACGAAATGCCTATATATAATCGGAGCAGTTGCGTTACAGAATATTATGACATCATTAGGCAAATATAAACAGTTATGTGAGGGCTATGATCTTTTTAAAACAACAGCAAATGCAACCTGACATAAACTTTGACTGTACTGTCATATAACCGAGCTTTCCACAAGAGGTTTTTTCAAATCAGTTTAACCCTAAAACCAAGGAATGCTTTAGTTCATCGGTCAGTGTGTATGGCAATGATAAGTGCACATTATTTGGCTGGAAGTTTGGATTTCTTCCAATAATTCATTTTCGGTTTACATAGTAATGCTTGTTTTCAATTTTCTTGATCCATTGATTTGTCTTGGATATGTAGACATAATCCTCCTCTTTGTGCCTAAGGCGATAATGGGAGTCAAAATTCTGTCCAGACGTGTCAACAGCTGTCTAGGATTGTGGACCATTCTTCAGGTCAACTCTGCAACCAGTACACTTTTGAATGTTTCTGCTTATTTAAATGAGCTCAACTGGAGTGCTCTCAGTGGGTCAAACTACTGGCTTCTCTGGTCTTGGATTGGTGATACGTTTGAGCTTTACCTTCAATTCATTACCATCAGAAGACTGCACTGAATATTACAACTGCGTACAGTCTGGAGGAATGTCTCTCAGCAATTCTCCCAGGGTTTCCCTCTCTGTGAGTACAACAGATTCTTTTGATTTATTCTTTAGTGGCTTGACCAGGTTTCTTCCCTGCCTGGCGACTTACATTTACCACTGATGCTGCTGTTAAATTACTTGTTTTGTTTTTTACAAGGTAACGAAGCACTGGAGGTAATGGTTGTCAGCAGCCAATGAATGAGAACATATATGGTGCATCAGACATAGTTTGATGCTACTCTGGTTTGTAGATTTAATGAATGTAACCGAAGAAGTTACAATTCATAGACCCAACGTTTTGACACTCCTGTCTACTGCCTTCATCAGGGGTGATCTAAACGCTGCACATACGGTGCATCTTGAACTGGAGACATGGGGTGCAACAAACATATTTATGTTCGTCAACACACTTTATAACATGTGGCTGACTTCCTGACTCACTGGGAACCATATGGGACTTGTGTCCATGGAAACCTTGACAGATGTTACCATTGAGGATTCTCTCCACTTTGACTTTCAATGCAGATACTTGGTCATCGAGGAACTTTTCAGTTAACCTCTGAAGTTCCCTTGTAAGGGAATCGGTTGGAACTTCATCATCGTCAAGAGGTTTCATTGGAACAACTGAGACATAGTCAAGAAGCTGCCTTCGTTTTGGAGGGACTTAGAGCCCAGAAGTTTGGAGGCATTTTTGCATTGTTATACTCGTCCTTTAAGACGTATGGACCTGACATTTCTGTAAACACTTTGCCAATATCGTGATGTTGTTTCATCACAAATCCTTGAATATCATTAATAACCTGTGAGACATCTTTCCTTTGGTTTTCTATCCAGGTTTTCAGGGACGCATTCATTGACTCAGGGCAGTTGTTGTCAAACATGTCTTCCTCTATGCCAACTTCTTGGAGAAGACTTGGTCATCAGTGATGGACAGTACTTCAGCCTTGTTTTTTCGAAATAGAGAAAGACTTTAGCATCTTCAGGCATCTTTTTCTTTCTCCTTTCTTCCAGCTCCAAGTTGTTCCACTTTACTTTAAACACGTAGGGAACCCATAAAAGGTAAGCGGTTTGCACTTGGCTTCCTTCGCACCAATAATGGCGGCTTTCTGCAACGGTCACTATCGTTATAAATCTTCTGCTAAATCTCTTGTTGTCCGCTTTCAAGAAATGATACATTAAATTATTTATTTACAACCCCCACCATTTGCTTACCTTTTCAAGAGTGTCTCAAATGTTGTTCTTAGACAAAAAACTCAAGAAACGAGCGAAAACTTCCTTCCCGTTCGGAGAAAATTCAAATTTTGCGGGCGCTCAAGATCGATGAACGCATGTCCTCCGTTGAGAAAATGGGCCTGCAATCATAAAGATCATCTATTTCTATAACTTGAGCATGCCTGTAGGTTCTGTACGATAGTGAGGCTTGTACTTTGAGTTTTGGCGGCGGGAAAGTAAAACAACAAAACAAACAGAAGTTATGTGTTCGTATGTATACGTTTTGCGACCATGCTAGGCCGCCATAGTGCAAATGCACCCCCAAACTGTTCTATTCAGAACAAAAAAATCCGAAATTCTGAGTACTACAAAGAAAAGAAAGAGTCTTTAAAGGCTAAAAAGGTCAGGTACGACTTCAAAATAGAGTTAAACAAAGAAGAAGAAGGCCGCCTGGAGTCGCTGAAGATGAAAATTGCATCCATCAAAAAAGAGCGGCATTTGGATAACAAACTCGTACCTGCAGCAAACGCTCGTTTTATGGAAATTTTAGTAGACAACTGGCTTGTACATAATGCCAAAACCGAGGCAAATGGTTTAGAAACTGCACACTTTGTGGACTTTGATAGTATGCAGTCAGTAATCGAAGAGGAGACAAACGCAAGCTCGCCCCCAGAATCGTTCCAGGACAGCTACATCAAGACCCAGCGGCATAGCGAGAGCCGAGAAAATGACGAAATTTATTTAGTGTGCGGATCTGCCCTCGAACACTTGTTTAGACATTTTATTGACGGAAATGATTGTGTTTGCAAATGTGGGAATACTAAAAAATCTTTGCTTGTGATAAAATGTACCTCTACACTAAGGGAAGCTTATATACACTCACAGAAAGCGAACTACAAATATTTACCTTGTGTTCGAGTTGTGTTGAATACAATTCAAGCTTTATTCAAGCAAATTTCGCTATAAACATGCACTGAAACAATGCAAATACACATTCATTGATAATTTTCACGATTGATTGTAGTTTGAACGTGGGCATCTACAAAGAATTACATTTCTGTCAAGCTTGGCTGAAATTACGCGACATGTAAATCAAGCTACATTTATATATTTACCAGCATCTTCCTCTTCACGGACATTGCTATCTTGTGTTATTTTTGCTCTTTTCCTTCGGCTGGGTTTGGTTTCAGAGACAACCTCCCCGCCGCTGAAGGCCACAAAAGAACGCAGAGATTCCATTTTACTCACTGGCATTAGAAGTACAACCTAAAACACGGCATTTACGTTGAGTAACAAACTCCAAAACAATCGATATGCTTTCACAAGTGAAACAACAAAAAAGGTGTTAAAATGCATGTATATGAAGTACGATACCTGTCTAAATTCTTCTTTTGTAGATGCCATTCTTGTTGTTTTCACTTACCTTTTCACAAAGGCGGGAAGCAAGCAAGCGAAAAACCTTCCCTTGTGCGGTCGCCTGAAAAATTACTTCGTGCGAATTTCGCGGGAGTACCACACGCCTGGGTGAATAAGCCAATCAAAGCAGATTATTCCAATTTGTGATTGACGGGCTGAGCCGCTCAGCCTCCCTTTATAGGCTCGCTACGTGTTTAAGTTTAGAGAGATTTAAGTCAAAATCAGCACGGCTGTCACAGTTGACCAGTCCCTCTTGCTGTTTATCAACAAAAAATCTTTGGCAACTGTTCTGTAGAAGCTGTCAGAGAGATGTAGATCAGATTTGATCTTGTGTTCAATGTTCCTGACAATATGAGGTAGACATAGGAATCCAAAAGCAAAGGGAAATTCTAAATCTAAGGCCCTGATGAGGGCACTTTCGCCATCAGATCCATATGCTTTAAGTGTGTTCCGTAGCTCTGGGCAGGCATTTGTCATCTTTTGGAAAAGTGACTGATAAGTTTCCCGATTTTTTTTGGCACAGACCATGACTGGTCCAATCACAACAGGTTTTTTGCCACTTTCATGTGATTGGAGTGGCATTTGTCAGTAAGTTGTAACAACAACATAAAAATTTCAAATGTCAAGCGTCATATAAACACAAAAGGGTGAGTTGATATTATTGTCTTTTGTACAAAATTTGGCAATGTCAGATATCTGCTCCTCCTTAAAGAGAATAATGGTAGGGCAATTGGCTTCCACAGTTACTCCTCTACTGATCTTGGATTAAGTTTGGATGTTATGTATTTTCCTTGGCGTTCGTTTCTTGGGAGAGATGACTGGGATGATGCCATAAACCCCCCAGGCTTTGTTAGTCCCACGGTCAGTGGCAATACCAGGTCAGGCAGGGAAATCTGACCAACATGTCCCAACACCGACACTGCACTGGAGTAGATTCTATTAAGCAATGTCTTACAAACAAAGTCAACAAAAGGTCGACATGAAGGGTTTTTTCTTAATTCAATTGATGAAGGATAAGCCGAATGATAGGATACCCCTTTAAAGGTACTCTGAAAGGGGCAAAAGGAATCTTCCACCTAAACCTTGTGCCGAATCCGACGTAAGACCTGAGTTTGTTGAGGGCTTGGAACAGTGCCTGCTATTTCTTCCCATTGTCTCCCCAGCACAAAAATGATCTGGATCTCTGAATTGTAATTCAGAAACAGTACCAAGGGCCTCACCCTGAATGATTCGTCTGAGCCTTTCTTCTGGAAACCTTTGCCCCCACATACTGGCCCCTACAGGGTTTCCCCTCCAATCAGCCCAACACACTTGTTTGGGAAGTGACTGGGCTACAGCCAGGACCAAAGGAAGCCTAGAAACCCTAGAAAGGAAAAGGGAGGACAAACAGGTGTGGGTGAAGATTTAATTAACAGCATAAAAGGAAATAAAAATATAATGAGGGGAAGACCCAAGGGCCAGCAGGTGGTGACAATTGTGACCCAGAATGACCAAGAGGGTATTTTGAGATACCCCGTTTTCGCGATTGTCTTTTGCTGCAGTCCTCAGGGTGGGATTTATCATGAGAAAAGACAGTTAGACAAGCATTTATTCAATCATCAGGCATTTATTCAATTATCAACCATCAAACATTTATTTGATCATCAATTATTCATTTATTCAATCATTAATTATTTAACAAACAGTTTCACTTATCGTTTCCTTGTTTATTATTTGCGTTGCGTGGGGAAGATTCAGCAAGATCCCTCTTCCTCTTAAAACAGGTTGCTCTAGTGTGGCCAAACCTCTGATGGTAATAGCAATGAAAAGATTTATATGGGGCTAGGGTTGCATCGCGATGAGGAGGCCTAGTAAAATTACGCTCTTGGCACCCTCGGGTGTGCTTGTCAACCTTGGCTTCTATTTCTAAAACCTTCTCTTGATCCTTATCCCCCAAAAGGGGGAGAAGATAATCATGGAACTGGCTGTCGGAACTAGAATGGAGCTTTGAACAAAGGGTCTCACAGGCCAATCTTTGGTAGTTGGCTCGATCATGTTTGCTGTCTTGAGCAGCATCCTCTATGGCTTCAATCAGTTCCATTGCCTCGAAACGGGAGAACTCAGCAATAGGACGTGCGGACAGGATTCTAACTTTACCCAATAGGCTCTCCAAGGACAGGGTAGTTAGTGACTCTACCCTCTTTTGCAACTCAGTAAACTTCCTCCTAAGAGTCTGAAAAGGATCACGGAAATACATTCAAATATCTGCCAGAGAGCTCAAACAGTCCTTTAAAACCACTACACAAAATTGGTAATATGACAGTTTAAGAACAATAATATTAATAAACGGATCCCTGCTGTCCAGGTTATGTCTCAAGAGAATGACACCAGAACAATATTAACCTAAAAATGCCATTAATGATCCTCACAACATTCTTCGCCGAGAAATCGTAGCACTAAAATTGAAGTAGTGAACTTTACACCATAAAGACCAAAAACACCTTTAATCAACTATGAGGCACTAAGTTGAGAAGAACAGGCGGATTCACATGAAACTTTGGTTCTCAATCACGAACTATTAAAGGTGCAGATGCATTGCCTGATTTCATGGCGCGCGGGAGACTGGCACTACCAGATTTTTGCGGACTTTGTACATGTACTATTCCTGATTCAAAATGGCGGTCGATAATCGCCGCCATAAGACCTCTTGGCTTTGGAGTTGTGCCAGTCGATACTGTAAAGCATCCTGGAAAACGGAAGGAGAATATTACACCTTAACTAAAGTTGCTTCAGCTAGTAAACTTGTTGTCGAAGCTTATTTGTTTGTCCTCGGGAAAACCATAAACTAAGTCAATTTTAAGAGACAAGTGATTTGTACACAACATTGGCCAGAAGGCGTACGAAAAAACCTGGAAGATCCGCCTTCAATTAAATACACAAATGTGCAAGGAAAAGAGACTAAAGAAGGTCGTGAACATTGGAACTGTGCTGCAGCTCTGTGTACAAACTCCTGGCGAACTAAACTCGAGGGATTACAATGCAAAGACAAACAACATGCTTATAATAAAGTATTTATGAACAAAGCAGTTGACTTCAAACGCGATTTTATGCGTTCAGTACACTGGTCAAAAGGATTTAGAGACAACTTAGATGATCTCCCAGATAGAGCTTGCCACCCGGACTACGTGAATAAACAAACAACAAAGAAAGTGACACCACAAAGTAAAATTGCTGCAGCAAAACGTTCTCTGAGTACGACTAAGCAAACAAACACCAAGAGAAGGAAACTCATACGTTCATCCTGTTCACTTGACTTTAATTCAGATGAATCTAAATTTGACGTAATGCAAAAAGAATTACAAGAGCTCAAAGAAAAGCTAGAGAACAAAACCGAAGAGGCAAACAGACTGTCTCAGCAAGTGAAAGACCTCACTGAAAAAAATGACAGTTTAAGCAAGCAGATCGCACAATTTAAAGGGAAGATGAAAGACTTGACATTTTCATATGAATGTCTCAAGTTATGACCCAAAAGATTTTCTTACATGAGTGGATTAACTGTTGATGATTTTAATTGTGTTTTGGAATGCATCGAGCCATATATTTCTGTAATAATTTATCCTGATTGCAAAGCTAACCAAGATGGGCAAAGAAAACTCACAAAGAGAACTGGATTGTTGTGTTATTTTACAATATGCCGTCATACATTGCACCTTGGAGTCATGGCTTTCCTCACGAACACAAGTGATTCAACTATATCCCGTATTTTTTCTGCATGTTCAATATTTCTTTCAACTCTTTTTGACTCTATTGACCTCAGTCCATACCTGGGGGAAGTTATTTCATTGTTACCCAAAGAGTTTTGGTCTTCTGGTTTTCAGGACACTGTACTATTAGGGGACTGTACAGAAAACTGGATCTCATCACCTGAAAACTATGATGTGAGTAGTGCAACATTTAGTAATTACAAGAACCATGACACTGGTAAGACAGGCATATGGATGACTCCATATGGTGGCTTGGTGATGTGTACAGATACCTATCCTGGAGGAATAACAGACAATGAATTAACTGAACAATGTGGAGTTTTAGATATGGTAAAAGAGAAGGGTACTACTGTACTCACTGACAAGGGGTTTGGCATCAAAGACTTATGCCACTCAAAAGGACTGCTTCACAATCGGCCACCAATGAAAATGAATCCTCAGTATGATGAAAGTGAGATTAGCAAAAATTTTGATGTTGCTACACTGCGCATTTATAATGAAAACTTTATTGGCCGTATGAGAGACTGGTCAATCTTAAATGCATGCTGGCCAAAGAATAGATGTGACCTTCTGGGTTGCACCTATAAGGTATTTGCTCACATCGTCAATATGCTATTTGACCCTATTGCACCAAAGGAAAAAGTTTCCAGTACAACTACAACCACTTCATCATTTTTTATATAAAAACTTTTAATAGAGACTACTGAAAATTTGAATTAAACAAGATTTTGATTGATATCAGATGACACAAATTCAGAGATCAAATTGTGGTCAGTATAAAAAAATAAATAAAGCAAAAACGTTTTAAAAGGGCTGCAATATTTATACCTGTGAAACAGTTATAAATATATTTAGTGCTTAATAGTTCTAAATGTTTGAATGTCTTTTGTTTTCTATTGTCATATTAGTGCTATTTACTACTATTTAGTGCTAATTAAATAGAATTGTTTCACAGATATAGTGTTTGCTTTCTTACACTAATAAATGAATGAGGAATGTTAGTTTTACAGTATGTCTTTATTTCATACAGCTCTTGTGATCTGCAATATATAATAATATGAAACTTGAATCCTGTGATATTTTCTCACTGTTTTCAACTTAGTATGCAAATTGCCTATTTCAGATCACGTCATTCCCTTGAGATTTGTTCTTTTGTTAAAATATTTACAAATAAAAGAATCAACTCCCAAAGTGGCACTACGTGGTCTGAAGTGGGCCTAACAAATAAAGAAGGTAAAAATGTCTATTGAGCTACAATGTATGTTAATGGGTTCAAAAATATTTGTGGATAAGGGTGGAAGGAGGAAGACCTACTGTGATAGCAATGCTTGTATTGAGTACTGTCACTCGATAAAGCATTGACTTTCAGCATTTATGGTTAACTTGGGAGATTAATTATTGATATGTTGGTAAAATATTCATTAATGTAATAACCAATCCTCTTACATGTGGCAATGGTTTCAATGCAATCTCCATTTTCTTGTTTTTTTCCTCTTCGTTTAGTTTTTCTAGCTGGGTGTTATTGGGAAGGGATCAGGTTTTTATTTCAACCAAAAACTGCTGCCGCCCAGTGCTCACTCCATCAGGACTGGCTCCAAATCTGCTATCAGAAGGATGTTTGAAGTACCCACACTGAGAGACACCCATTTTACGGTCATTTTGAAATTGTTGTATTGCATTTTGTTCCTGTTGCTTGCCTCTAATAAAATTTGGTAATTTATTCCTTTTTGGATTTAAAACATGTTCATCAATTCTGTTCTTTATTGCAAACCATCCATTGTCAAACTCTTTCACACCATTAAATCCTAGGAGAGATGGAACCTTGCTTGCAGTGATAATCCCAACTCTTAGTGCTCTCCATTCATTAGAACACTGCTCAACTTCCAAATAATTCTGCTTTTTCAATAAAGGAATGATAATCTTTTCATTCCGGAATGACTGGTCAGATGGGCTGCTGCTGCATGAATCATCCTTTGACTCAGTTGATATTTGTGGCCTCCAAATTGACTCAGTACCTGCCTGGAATCTTGGTTTTAATACTTCTTTGTCATGATCTAGTCCTTTCTCCCTTCTTTCATACTCTGTTTTATATCTCAAATGTAAAAACAAGCCAGATTTCTTCTTGTATCTGGACAACACTGAATAAACATGGTTTTCAACTGATTTCTTTTTTGCAATATTCTCCATGATTTTCCTTTCTATTTCAATCACATCACGTTTATACCAATCACTGAAATCACTTCTTTCCTTATTTTGCTCTACAATTGTTTTCTTCTTTCTTTTTTTTTTTTTATATCCCTTCTTGCTCCTATGAGATTTCTCAAATACTTCAGCTTGATCTGTGATGCTGACTTTATTGTTCTATTACATGCAGGTCCTTTCAGGTGCCATTTTTGGTAATATGCTTGGGTAGGTGTATTACCAACAAACATTATGGTTACATGACGGGAAATACTTCCTGTGTAGGATTTGAGGATGTTTGCTTTTATAAATGAGCGTTTAGAATTGCTTTCCATCATTTTCACAGACGTTATTCGCCTCGAAGAAAACATAAAGTGTGCCTTTCGGTACTAACCTTTTTCACCTGCGTATTTGGCTTTTTGGTAGTCTCGAATAGTATTTTCGTTAACCACAGGGACGTTAGGATCTTCATTTCTTCGTATTATTTTCTAATTTGCCGATGGAGGAGGAACTTCCGAGGCTTCAAGTGAGGTGGAGAATTTATAAGTTTGACTAATGCAAAGTATACTTTCTTCTAGAATAGTTCAGCAGATTTCCCTAGAGGAGCTAACCTTTCAACAAGTTCTTGCTTTTCCACGGTGACCTTCAGCCTCAATTCCTTACAATATTGCTTCAGACTTTCTTTGCCGAGTGATGGCAAGTTTTCTGGTGATATATCACATTTGATTGCCTCAAAAGTAGACAATTTTGATTGACATTTTAGACGAGTTTTTGGATTGCTTGCAGCCATTTTGAATCTGGAATATAGTACAAGTACAAAGTCCGCAATAATCCGGTAGTGCCAGTCTCCCGCGCGCCATGAAATCAGGCAATAGTGCAAAAGTCACATTACTGAGAAAAAAGAATTATACTTCAAAGGAATTATATCACCAAAACATCAATAGTAAAACCCCAAACTCTAAACAAGAATAACTCTGAGTATACTCATCAGTGAACATCCAACATTTCGTTCGCCTGACGAAATAATCATGTCATCTAAAGTACAATCAGAACACTTAGCTCAAACAATATCCATTGTAAACACACTCATTAGTGATCATCAACTCGGTCTCCTGACGAAAGAATCATGTCACTAAGAGAAAAATCAAGTACTGAGCTCAAACAATACACATTGTAAACACACTCATTAGTGATCATCCAATTGCTCTCCAGACGAAAGAATCATGTCACCAAGAGAACAATCAAATACTGAGCTCAAACAATATGCATTTTAAGCACAATTTTTAGTGATCATCAAATCGCTCTCCTGACGAAATAATCATGTCACAAAGAGAACAATCAAAAACCGAGCTCAAACAACATGCACTGTAAACCCACTCATTAGTGATAGTAAGTAAGTAAGTAAAGCCTTTATTTAAAGAGGGTGGCACTTAATAGCCAAAGGCTAATAAACTTGTGGCCCTCACAACTATTTACAATCTAAAATACTGTAAGCTAAAATATATATATATACAGTTAAAATATAAAATATGACAGGATTCGATTATAAGATAAAAATAAATTATTAAATTATGAAATGATGCAAAAATTGTCGTTCCTTAAAAATCTTGGCAAACATGTTCTTTTTAAAACATGCTACAGAATTTAGTTTCCTAATTTCAATTGGTGTACTGTTCCACAGTCTTGTTGCCGAAACAGCAAAAGAGCGTCCTCCTTCTGTTTCTCTTTTATATTCAGGACAAACAGCATTAGTGCTTGAATATCTAGTGTTGCGGGAGTGCCGCTTATTATTTAAAATTAAGTGTTCATTTAGATAATTCGGCAAAGTCCCATTAATTCGCTTATACATTATTGTGCATTTATCAATCTTATGTTGCTCATAAAACGGGATCCAACCTAGCTTGTTAAACAAAGCAACTGATGGTGTCATGCGATCGGCATAACAAATAACGTGTGCCGCACGTTTTTGCAATCTTAAGACCCTATGAACCGACTCTTTATCGCAATTTGCCCAAACAACGTTAGCGTAAGACATAACAGGGGCGAATAATGCTATTATAAAACTGAAGTCGCTGTTTAAGAGGTAGACACGCTCGGATCTTACGCAATATTGCGATTCTAGAGGCCAACTTTTTACATACTTTCTCAACATGTTCATTAAATGACAATTTGCTGTCAATTTCTACGCCTAATAAGGTAGCACAATCCACATTACTGAGCTGTTTTCCATTTACGATTACATCTATGTCACTTCTATTTATGTTGGCCACGCGTCTTTTGCCAGTGATCGTAAGTACTTTAGTCTTGTCTTCATTTAATGGGAGCTTATTCGCTGAAGCCCATAATTGAATTTCAGAGACAGACTTGTTTAGTGATGAATTTAAGGTGGCTAAGTCCTTCACATCCGCAGAAGCGGTGACAGTCATATTGTCTGCGTAGAGGTCCAACTGAGCACTTGTATACAAGGGCAGATCGTTGATAAACAAAATGAAGAATAAAGGACCCAAAATACTGCCCTGGGGGTCTCCATGCAACATCAAAGCTTCGCTT